CAGGTTCAGGGGATCCTTCCACCTCAGCCTCCTGAGTAGCTGGGACCACAGGAGCTCACCACCACACCTGGCTAATTTTTTGTAATTTTGGTAGAGGTGGGAATTCGCCATTTTGGCTAGGCTGGTCTCAAACTCCTGAGCTCAGGCGATCTGCCTGCCTAGGCCTCCCAAAGTGCTAAGATTATAGTCGTGAGCCACTGTGCCTGGCTTTCTTTCTTCTTTTAAATTAGAGATGGGGGTCTCACTGTGTTGCCCAGACTGGTCTTAAACTCCTAGCCTCAAGTGATCCTCTTGCCTTGGCCTCCCAAACTTCTAGGAATTACAGGTGTGAGCCACTGCACTCGGCCTAATTTTTAACTTTGATCATTTGGATAACAAATGTCTGCTAGGATTTTTCTATTGTAAAGTTACTGTTACTTCCTTTTGTAATTAATAGATAATCTCTAGACAGATATTTTCTTGAAGGAATGGAATCATGTTTAATATAGGCACATAATAGATTTTTTTTTTCTGAGACAGGATCTCAGTCTGTCACCCAGCTGAAGTGCCGTGACATGATCATGGCTCACCACATCCTCAATCCCCCTGGGCTCAGGTGATCCTCCCATCTCAGCCTCCTGAGCAGCTGAACTATAGGTGCACACCACCATGCCCAGCTAGTTTTTGTGTTTTTTGTAGAGAAGGGGTTTTACCATGTTGCCCAAGCTGGTCTTGAACTCCTGGGCTCAAGTGATCCACCCACCTCAGCCTCCGAAAGTGCTAGGATTATAAGCATGTCACCATGCTCAGCCTAATAAATTGTTGAGGATAGCTATTTCTTATTTATTTATTTACAGAGACAGGGTCTCCCTGTGTTGCCCAGGATGGTCTCGAACTCCTGGGCTCAAGGGATCCTCCTGCCTCGGCCTCTCAAAGTGCTAGGATTACAGGCATGAGCCACCACACCTGGCCTGAGCATAGCTGGTTAATAGTTGGTTTCAACCTAGCCCAGTGACAAAAGAAACCAAGAAACTATTGTGGTACCGAGCTGAATCTAGTTCTTGATTTTTGAGAACCTGAAAGGGAATCTTGAAAAGCCAGATGAAAGCAGATGGTAATGTATGAGTTAAAACTCTGGCCTTGGAAAAGCATAACCCATTTATGTGAATATTTTAAAAATACACTTGCCCTGCCACCCAACAGGAAGTTGCGCTTTCACTGCCAGACCTATGTATTGGGTGGGATTAGAAAGCAGAGTTATTGGCTGGGTGTGGTGGCTCATGCCTGTAATCCCAGCACTTCGGGAGGCCGAGGTTGGCGGATCACGAGGTCAGGAGATCAAGACCATCTTGGCCCCATCTCTACTAAAAATACAAAAATTAGCTAGGCATGGTGGTACACGCCTGTAGTCCCAGCTACTTGGGAAGCTGAGGTAGGAGAATTGCTTGAATCTGGGATGCGAAGGTCGCAGTTAGCTGAGATTGTGCCACTGAACTCTGGCCTGGCGACAGAGCAAGAATCCTTCTTAAAAAAAAAAAAAAAAGAAATCAGTTATCGTCTGATATGACCTCATCAGATGATTGAAGTTATTAACTGAATTAAGCTTGGTATAAAAATAAGGTAAGTGGAGGAACATGTTTTCCCAATACTGTGGATTTGTCTAGCCCCCCATACTGTTACTGGAAAAGGGGTCTTGGATCTCATGTAGGAAGGAATTCAAGGTGAGTAGCAAAGCGCAATGAAAGAAGCAAGTTTATTAGAAACTACTCCATTATATAGTAGGATGTCCTAAGGAAACAAATGGAGGAACGTGCTTTCTTTAAGTTTCTTTTTTTCTTCTTTTTTGTTTTATATATTTTTTTCTATGTCTTTAAATCTTTATTTTTTTGATTTTTAATTTTTTCAAAATATTTTGAGATAGAATGTTGCTTTGTTGCCGAGGCTGGAGCACCATCATGCAATCACAGCTCACTGCAGCCTCTACCTCCCTGGGCTCAGGATATCCTCTCACCTCAGCCTCCCAAATAGGTGGGACTGTAGGCTTGGACCATCATGCTTGGCTTAATTTTCTTTACATTTTTTGTGGAGATGGGGTTTTGCCATGTTGCCCAGGCTGGTCTCAAACTTCTAGGCTCAAGTTATCTGACCACCTTAGCCTCCCAAAGCGCTGGGAGTATAGGCTTGAGCCACTATGCCTGGTCTAAGTGTTCCTTATATAGAGGTCTTGTCTATGTAAAGACCAAACCAAGCTGTGCTTACATGCGGAGGTGCAGACAGCATGACAAAATTTATTATTCTATTGATTTAAAGAAAACTATCCTTGACATTTTAGTGTGTAAGGACATCAAAGCATAATAATAATTATTTTGAAAGCATATGTTGTTATGGGTATTGGGACATCTGGACTTTCTGTTGTTGGAGTTTGTCTTTGCAGGTATTACCAAGTTGCTTCCTTATCTGTAAACATCTTAGGACTGTGGGTTGTGACTGGCAAGGAATCTGCCTTGCTAGTTTTAAGATGGAGTTGATTTTATTTTTATTATTTTCTGTTTTCTATTGCTGTAGCAAGATGGAGTCAATTTTAAAATAGTGTCACTCTGGCTCTTCTAGGCTCCTGCTTCCCTAATAAAACCTTTTCTAAAAAGGTATTGCAATTTTTTTTTGAGACAATTTTGCTCTTGTTGCCCAGGTTGGAGTGCAATGGTACAATCTTGGCTCACTGCAACCTCTGCCTGCTGGGCTCAAGCAATTCTCCTGCCTCTGCCTCCAGAGTAGCTGAGATTACAGGCGCCTGCTGCCACACCCAGCTAATTTTGTATTTTTAATGGAGACAGGGTTTCTCTATGTTGGTCAGGCTGGTCTTGAGCCCCCGACCTCAGGTGATACGCCTACCTTAGCCTCCAAAAGTGCTGGGATTACAGGCATGAGCTACCGTGCCTGGCCTGTATTGCAAAATATTAACTTAACAAAAAGTTATGCAAAATATTAAACCAAGCTTACTTTTAGTTCTTTTGAAACTTTCTGGTTTTATTTTAGTGCTGCTCCTTTGGGAACCACAGCCAAAGAAGAGATGGAGCGGTTCTGGAATAAGAACACAGGGTCCAACCGTCCCTTATCTCCCCACATCACTATCTACAGGTAAGGACTCTGGAGCCAGAGAATCTAGAGGTAGTGGGTGAGTTCTTAAGGTTGATCTTTAGCCTACCTGATACTTCCCTCACTTTTGCTCAACTAAAATACAGCTATGTAGGTAAGGTGAACCCTTCAGGGTAAAGGGAGATAACATAAGGATTATCTTAGGCCTTTTTTATATGGAGATGACTAAATTCTATCTTCTAGCATTAGAAAGGTAATTTATCCTGCAAAACTACCATTAAGAAAATTCTGGGCCGGGTGTGGTGGCTCATGCCTGTAATCCCAGCACTTTGGGAGGCCGAGGCCGGTGGATCGTGAGGTCATAAGATTAAGACCATCCTGGTCAACATAGTGAAAACCCATCTCTACTAAAAATACAATAGAAATGCACCATTGTACATTTCCACTAGCAGTGTATAAGGGTTCCAGTTTATCCATATCCTCACCAACGCAACATCCATATTTCTACTAACATCTGTTCAAGGCAATTTGGGCTTTTTAAAAATTATGGTTCTAAAAATTATTTTAATCCCTTCCACTGCCCAATTTCAAAGGCACTTCAGCATTTTTGGGTAGTCGTTAACAGCTGCACTCCGCTTTCAGTCACTACAATCTATACTAGTTTTCTGTTTACTGCCATAACAAATTATTGCAAACTTAGTGACTTAACACAAATTTATTACAGTTCTGTGGGTCAGAAGTCTGACAAAATCTTCCTGGACTGAAATCCAGGTGTTTGCAGGGCCCTGTTTCCTTCTGGAGGCCCTAGGGAAGAATGCGTTTCCTTGCCTTTTCTAGCCTCCAGAGGCTATCTGAATTCCTTGGCGTGTGTCCTCCTTCCTCCATCTTCAGAACCAGCAATGCTAAATTGAATTCTTCAGTCACAACAGTTGACCCTGCTTCCGTCATCACATTTCTTCTTTGAATCCTTTCTTCTGTGAGCCTCTTCTGCTTTTCTTTTTTCTCTTTTCTCTCTTCTGCTGTTAAAGACCTTTATGATTACACTGGGCCCGTCCTAATAATCTAGGATAGTCTATGTTGTTTTGTTTTTGAGACAGGGTCTCGCTTTGTTGCCCAGGCTGAAATGCACAGGTTTTCTACAATTTTTTTTTTTTTTTTTGAGACGGAGTCACTCACTTTGCCACTTGGCCTGCAAAGCCTAAAATTTTTACTCTCTGCCTCCCTCCCACCGGCCCCACTGCTTTTTTTTCTTTTTTTTCATTCTTAAGTTAGAACCCGCTTTTTTTTTTTGAGACAAAGTCTCACTCTGTTGCCCAGGCTGGAGTGCAATGGCGCGATCTCGGCTCACCACAACCTCCCCCTCCCGGGTTCAAGCAATTCTCCTGCCTCAGCCTCCTGAGTAGCTGGGACTACAGGCATGCACCACCGTGCCTGACTCATTTTTAAATATTTCCTAGAAATGGAGTTTGGCCATGTTGCTTAGGCTGACTTTGAACTCCTAGGATGAAGCTGTCCTCCCACTTTGCCCTCCCAAATTTCTGGGATTACAGGTGTGAGCCATTGCACACAGCCTAGTCTCTTTATCTTAAGGTTGTCTTATTAGCAACTTTAATTTCATCTGCAACCTTAATTCCCCTTTGCCAGAAAGGGTAACATATTCATAGGTTCTAGGGATTAGAATATGGACATCTTTAAGGAGGCCATTATCCTGCCTACTACAACTTCTTAATGCTTGGGTGTGTGTTTCCTCAATTGCAAGACAATCTCCAAAGTATAACCATCACTATGTTAATTAGAAAATTAACATTGATCCAGTGTTACTGTCTAAACCTTAGGTCCCATTCAAATTTTGCCACTCCATGAATGACCTTTATAGGCCTAAGATTGAACCTAGAATTATATATTATGTTTAGTTGTCATGTTTCTTTAATCTCCTACAGTATGGAAGACATTTTTAGTCTTTCCTTATTTGTTATGACCTAGACATTTTTAGAATGTTCCTCTATTTGGGTTTATTTGGTGTTTTTTGTTTTTTTTTGAGGCGAAGATTTGTTCTTGTTGCCCAGGCTGGAGTGCAATGGCAAGATCTTGGCTCATTGCAGTCTCTGCCTCCTGGGTTCAAGCAATTCTCCTGCCTCAGCCTCCCGAGTAGCTGGGATTACAGGCATGCACCACCATGCCCAGCTAATTTTGTATTTTTAGCACAGACGAGGTTTCACCGTGTTGGTCAGACTGGTCTCCAACTCCTGACCTCAGGTGATCTGCATGTCTCAGCCTCCCAAAGTGGGATTACAGGTGTGAGCCACAGCACCTGGCTATTTGCTGTTTTATGATTTATGCATTTTTGGCAGGAATACCCCTGCAGTAATGCTATAGTTCTTTGTGTACATTGTATCAGGAGGCAGGTGCTGATGATTTATCCCGTTATTGATGATGTTAACTTTTGTCACTGTTTAAGATGTGTCTGCTAGATTTCTCTACCGTAAAGTTATTGAATAAGGATGCTGTATTTATTAATTAATACATATTTTGGTGGGGGAGATACTTTGAAACTAAATATTCTTTCTCATCAGATATTTACTCATCAATATCTGTTGGAGGTACTTGCCTAAATCATTTATTACCGAGATAGTTGCCAAATGTGTTGTTATTAATTTTATATAATATTTTCTAGATTTATTTGTTATGATAGGGTAATGCTTACTTTCTATATCAGTATGGACTCAAGGATAATAGGGACTTAAGCATTATTTTGCCCAAAGGATTATACTGTGTCTGTATTTATTTATTTTTGTTGCCCAGGCTGGTGTGCAGTGGTGCAATCTCAGCTCACTGCAACCTCTGCTTCCTGGGTTCAAGTGATTCTTCTTCCTCAGTCTCCTGAGTAGCTGGGATTACAGGCATGTGCCACCACATCTGGCTAATTTTTGTATTTTTAGTAGAGATTGGGTTTTACCATGTTGGCCTGCCTGGTCTCTACCTCCTGACCTCATGATCCTCCCGCCTTTGCCCCCCAAAGTGCCGGGATTACAGGCGTGAGCTACCAGGCCAAGGCCCCTGTTATTATTTATTTTGGTGTTCAAATTGTCCCAGACCTGGCCAATAGGAGTTCTTCAAAATGACTCTTGTGAAGTCAGTATCTGGGTGCTAGATGTGCTCATTGCTACTGGTATGTCATTGCTTCTAGGCTCCCTGTGGATAGAGGTAGCATATATATGTATGCATTCTCTGTCATACAAACACCACATGTGTATGTATATAAGTATATACATACATACATCATACATGCATATGTACACATCTCTGTTTATCTCCAAAAGTGGCATTGATAGCTGTTTTTTGCTGATGTCTTTGAAATAAGTCCCTGTAAATTTGCTTTTTTTTTCCTTTTTAGGCTAACCCAGCAAAGCATCTTGAGTTCTGCTACTCTCTTGGGTTTCTGCCAGTGAGGCTGGCCATTTTTTAACCACCTCCACAAATACCATAACCCTTAAGTTTTTTTCCAAGCCAGATTCCAGGAATAATCCTGTTTGTAGAAACTGGTCATGCCACTAAAGCAGAAGGAGACTAATAAGTGATCTCATTTCTTCCTGTTTAATGGTGAATCTTATTTTTTAAGAGATAAAAGTTTTGGGGAAGAATTATAATGAAAAAGAGCTTCCCAAATTATTCTGAATCTATATTTAAAGCCCTGGCCTTTTTTCACAGGCCATATAAAGAATGGCTGTAGGTTGGTGAGGTGATTCTTTCACCACCTTGTTTGCTTTTTTTATGTAACTCCAGACATACTTGGGGTTGGTGAGGGGAAAGCAGCCGGGAACATGGGGCTATTTCCAGAGTGGCTTGTCAGGGAAAGATATCTGAGATATCTGAAATCATATTTTCTATTAACCACTTTTTGGATTTTTTGAGAGGCTTGGAAGTAAATGGTTAGTGATGTTAAATATCTTTTCATGTACTTATTGGCCATTGGCAGTCTTGGCCATTGGAGAAATGTTTTCACTTTTCTGGAGGTGTTTTTTTGTTGTTATTTTTTGCTTTTCAGTCAGGGTCTCCCTCTGTCACTCAGGCTGGAGTACAGTGGCAGGATCACTGCTTGCTGTAGCCTCCGCCTCCCGGGCTTAGGCAATCCTGCGGCCTCAGCGCCCCCAAGTAGCTGGGACTACAGGTGCATGCCACCATATCTGGGTAATTCTTGTATTTTTTATAGAGACAGGGTGGTTTTTTTTGTTTTGTTTTGTTTGTTTGTTTGTTTGTTTTGTTTGTTTGTTTTTTGCCCTATTGCCCAGGCTGGTCTCAAACTCCTGAGCTCAGGCAATCTGCCCACCGTGGCCTCCCAAAGTGCTAGGATTACAGGCGTGAGCCACTGTGCCTGGCCACAATCTTGATTTTCTGTAATCAAGATGTAGAATGTTCATAAGGGACTAGTGAAGAAGACTTATCTTTGCTCCATGATGCCTGAGACCTCAGCTGGAAAACACAAAGGCTAGGGGCTGAATTAATCTGAAGATCCAATCATTCACGTGTCTTGGGTTGATTCTGGCTGTTGGATAGGGCCCTTATTTTCTCTCTGCATAGGCCTTTTCACATGATATCTGTGTAAGCTGCTTTGGGTTTCCACACAGGATGAGGGAGGAACGAGAATTTGTAAGTCACGCAGCATCGCTTCTGCTGCATTCTATCTTTTGAAGCAGTTGAGCATCATTTCCTGCCCAGGTTCAAGGGTAGAGGCTAAATAACTTGCTTGATGAGAAATGACAAGATTCTGGAAGATCATGAGGGACTGGAAATAATGTGGTTATTTTTAGACAACAAAATCTTTTACCTTGTCATTACTGGGCTAACCAGGCTATGATTTTAACTGTTTTTGAAAATTAGGGTAACATTTGAATTCAGCAGTTTCATATTACATCACTCCCATTTTCTATATCAGTATTTCTGAAAGATTTCCAAAACAGTGCATATGTTTCTTCTATTAGCTCTTTCAGTCATGGGATTTGATTCATCTGGTCCCAGAGCCCCAAGTGTGTTTGGAATCTTCTAATTTTCTCACCTCTTTAGGGTTTCAAGTCTTTCAAATCAATATTTCTTCAGTCTTTTTCATGCTGATAATCATTCTCTTTGACAGATAAAATAGTTGTGCAATCTGTTTCACACTCTGTCATCAATTAGCATAAAATTGCTCATCCCAGTTAGGAGGCTCACTGTCTCAGAATACAATTTTAAAAGCTCCTTTTTGTTGTCCTTCAGATTTTTGCAAGCCTCAGCTCATTCTGGGTTTCAGTCTCCTGATTCTTCTTGCCAAATCACCCCATTGTTCTCTGCCCTTGGTTATGTGGCTCTTCCACCTTTTGTATTTCTGTTGTTAAATCTGAGTTGATCAGAGTGGTATCTAGCTAGTATTAATATTTTTAATTTATTTGGGAATACTCCTTTCTTACTGTGACCATTTTCATTATGTAGGTAGAATTTTTTGAGATCTTTTTTAACCTCCTCATTTCTCTTTAGAATGTTTAATATATGGTTTGATTATGTTTGGTATTTGTCTAAGCTAACATGCCAAGATGAGTGTTAACTTTCTACAGAAATTCTTGTTCTTTCATTTTACCCACCAGTTCTCTCTTGAGCGTGAGAACTAGGTCTAGAATAACAATGTTGGTTGTCCTTCTGTGGAAAGTTGATGATGCATGATTTAAAAAGGGGTTTGATGACAAAAAGTATTTCACAACTACTGTGGATTAAGAAATATATACCAAATCCCGAAGACTGGATATAAAAATTTGAGATAGGTAATTTATTGTAGCATTTTCTTTTTTTGAGACAGAGTCTTACTCTGTTGCCCAGGCTGGAGTGCAGTGGCACAATCTCGGTTTACTGCAACGTCCACCTCCTGGGTTCAAGCATTTCTCCTGCCTCAGCCTCCCAAGTAGCTAGGATAACAGGCATGTGCCACCATGCCCAGCTAATTTTGTGTTTTTAGTAGAGATGGGGTTTCTGTATGTTGGTCAGGCTGACCTAAACTCCCAATATCATTTTATTTTATTTTTTGAGATGGAGTTTTGCTCTTGTTTTCCAGTCTGGAGTGCAGTGGTGCAATCTTAGCTCACTGCAATCTCCACCTCCTGGGTTCAAGTGATTCTCCTACCTCAGCCTCCTGAGTAGTTGGGATTATAAGAGTGTGCCACCATGCCGGGCTAATTTTGTGTTTTTAGTTGAGATGGGATTTCTTCATGTTGTTCAGACTGATCTCAAACTCCTGACCTCAGGTGATCCCCCTGCCTCAGCCTCTCAAAGTGCTGGGATTATAGGTGTGAGCCACCGTGCCTGGCCCAGGTTTGTATTTTTAAAGTAAAAAGTGGAAACATGGCTGGGCACGGTGGCTCATGCCTGTAATCCCAGCACTTTGGGAGGCTGAGGTGGGCAGATTACGAGGTCAGGAGTTCAAGACCAGCCTGGCCTAGATGGTGAAACTCTGTCTTTACTAAAAATACAAAAATTAGCCAGATGTGGTGGTGAGTGGATGTAATACCAGCTACTCAGGAGGCTGAGACTGGAGAATCTCTTGAACCCAGGAAGCACAGGTTGCAGTGAGCTGAGATTGCACCACAGCACTCCAGCCTGGGTGACAAAACAAGACTCCGTCTGTGGGGAAGAAAAAAAAGTGAAAACACAGAAATTTGAAAGCTGGGTTTTTTTTTTGTTTGTTTTTGTTTTTAGAAAATATTGCCTATTCAGGGGAATTGCTTGAAACTGGAAGGGGAGGTGGAGGTTGCAGTGAACCAAGATCGGGCTGCCGCATTCCAGCCTGCGTGACAGAGCAAGACTCTGTCTCAAAAAAAAAAAGGAAAAAGAAAAAACGAAAACAGCACCTATTTCAGAATTAGTTTATATTTTTGCCAAGATGAACTTTACTGTGGTGTCATCTTTGCCTTTCTATTTATTTTTTATTTTATTTTGTTTTTATTTATTTCTTTTCTATCTTTTCCTTTTAAAAATTGTCTTTGTGTGTTTTACAGTTGGTCTCTTCCCATGGCGATGTCCATCTGCCACCGTGGCACTGGTATTGCTTTGAGTGCAGGTATGTATATGTGTTTTTACACACACACATTTGCTTCTTTGAAAATCTTGGCTGTTTCAGTGGCCTTAGTCACTGCCTCCTTTGCAGCTCTGCAGCTTGATTTAGAGGAAACAATAAGTCTCTTTTAAGTTTATTGTTCATTCATCCCCTTAACAATTAATTATGAGTTGCACTGTGCTCAGATTTTTTCTTTCTTTTTTTTTTTGAGACAGTTGTTCTGTCGCCTAGGCTGGAGTGCAGTGGCTTGATCTCGGCTCACTGCAACCTCCACCTCCCAGTTTAAGCAATTCTCCTGCCTCAGCCTCCTGAGTAGCTGGGACTACAGGAGTGTGCCACCACACCTGGCTAATTTTTTGTATTTTTAGTAGAGATGGGATTTCACCGTGTTAGCCAGGATGATCTTGATCTCCTGACCTCGTGATCCACCCTCCTCAAACTCCCAAAGTGCTGGGATTACTGGCGTGAGCCACCATGCCCTGCCCAGATTATTTTCTTAGCAAATTTTTAACCCATTCCCCAGCACTTCCTAATATCATATTTATTGAAATTATAGAGAGCAGAGAAATGTAATAGAGATGGGATGGCTGACTGATCATTGATGAAACATAGTACAAGATGAATCATCAACCTTATTCTTCAGAAACTCAGTTTTAGCACCCATTCTTATCACCTAGACTTGATCAGTCCCCAAAGACTAGCTTACCAATCTCATGAAATCTTGTTTCACAGACCAAAATGTCTATTTATTCATTTATATAATATGAAATGGAGCTACAGAGTGAATTGTATACTGGTCTTAGATAATTAGTACATCCTTTTTAGGTAGGAAGGTTTATTATGTGGAGTGCAGATTACAATCAGGTTTCTGGGATCTGATGTATCTTATCACAGTAGGGATATACTTTTCAAGAGGTCAGGTAGAGTTAAAAATTTTCTCTGGCTGTTGCTGGAAACAGACATTTTTGCTTTTTTATTTTTATGTGTTTATTTTCTCACAAGAATATGCATATAACATATTTTTACTTTTTTAGCCTTCCTTTATCTAGCCTTATAGCATACTTTGTTCTCCTATACCCACCAAAAACAGAAACAGAAACTAGATTATGTTCCCTAGATATACACTCTCAAAGCATTCTAGTTTTTCTTTCATAACAGTCATCTTAGTTGTAATTTACTTGTTCATTGTCATTCTTCCTTACTGGATTGCCTGTTCCCTGAAGCTTAGATGGCATCTGTCTGTATTTTTAATCATCTAGTATGGTACCTAGAATGCAGTAGATAATTTAATAAATATTTAGTGAATACAAAATGAATACCACTCTCTTTTTTGTTAATACGTTTTATATATTTCTGTCCTAAATTTCTATTCAGTGTATGATCATAGTTTTTGGCTCTAGAAGTATCTTGTTTTGGTCCCCTGCATACCAACTATAATAACTACCTAACTAGTATTGTATTTCAACTGGTATTTCTGTGTGATGTGATTAGTAGTTTAGCTGAAAGCTATTCAATTCAGTGGGAGCAAGAAGAGATTATCGGACATTAGAGTGCTGCATAGATGAATCTAAGTTTGTTTTCTATTAGTCACCTTGAGACATCAGGGGAACTTGTGTTGTCTCCCAGCAAAGAAAGGTGATCTAGCTCTTCTATATCCACAGGGAGAACAGATACAAACTAAGAGTAGTGGAGTGCTTTCTAAAAGAAATGCTCCAATGAACAGTTAGCACATATTCAATAAGACTTCTGTTCTAAGTTGACAGTCCTAGGACCCTTGCTGGGAAAGGAAAATGTTCTTATGAGTTTGAATAGTGTATAAATCCCTGCTGTGTGTACAGACTCTTTTCTTCTGTGGATTGTTCCCTGGTATGTCTTTTTTTTTTTTTTTTCTAAGACAGAGTTTCACTCTTGTTGCCCTGGCTGGAGTACAATGGCACAGTCTTGGCTCACTGCAGCCTCCCGAGACCAGCTTCCAGGGTTTAAGCTATTTTCTTGTCTCAGCCTCTCAAGTAGCTGTGATTACAGGTGCTCCCCACCATGCCTGGCTAATTTTTGTATTTATAATAGAGACAGGGTTTCCAAACTCCAGACCTCAGGTGATCTGCCTGCCACAGCTCCCAAAGTGCTGGGATTACAGGCGTGATCTACCATGCCTGGCCCCCTACTATGTGTTTAACCTCATCCTAGGGAATAAGAGAAAATATCTTGCCTAGAATCTGTATGAAGTTATATACTTGAGAGACAGAAGCCCCACTGTTTTACCTTATGTGAAACTCAGTCTGAGCCCCTCTGTCTCATCTCTTTTGGTACTTTAGCCTGGGAGCAGTGCCTAAGTTTTATTCATCACATCAGGCATCGTTATAATCTTGCCAAGAGATGGCCCATTTGTACAGAGTAGAGCAGATGGCAGCCTTCAGGTCCTAGCATGTAGTGTGCTCTTGCTTCAGAAATTTGGTGCCAAATAGAGCTGTCGAGGTAGAAAAGGGAGTTTCTCTTGACTTTTGCTTTGTTGAAGTGATGGTGGTATTGTAAAAGTGCTCTTGTTTCTGTTTTTCATAGTATCCTTCAGGGTCCCTCCTAGGCTTCTGTAAATTGGTTTTTTGTTGTTGTTGTTTTTTTTTTAAGAGACAGGTTTTCACCATATTGGTCAGGCTGGTCTCGAACTCTGAGCCTCAAATGATCTGCCCAACTCGGCCTCCCAAAATGCTGGGATTATAGGCATGAGCCACTGCGCCCGGCCCTGTAAACTGTGTTTTTAACTGAAGTGGTCATCAGTAGGGCTATTGGCTCTAGTGTATATCTTGTATTTAAGGATCTGCTGATGAGACATTGGCAGGAATTATCTGAATCTAAGCCTCTGCGATTTGCAATCTCATACGTGTGTGTGTATATTTATGTATGTCTACTTATAGACATATATATATATAGTTTTGTTGATAAGGATAGAGACTCCTATCTAAGATCTGATGCTGTCATTTCTGTTCTTTCATTCCTTTGGTTGGTAAAGGGATGATGGAATTGAGGTATAAGGATGATTCATCGGCCAGGCATGGTGGCTTACACCTGTAGTCCCAGCACTTTGGGAGGCTGAGGTGGGTGGATCACGTGGTCAGAAGTTCAAGACCAGCCTGGCCAATATGGTGAAACCCCATCTCTACTAAAAATACAAAATTTAGCTGGGTGTGGTGGCTCCCTCCTGTAGTCCCAGCTGCTTGGGAGGCTGAGGCAGGAGAATCACTTGAACCCGAGAGGCAGAGGTTGCAGTGAGCCGAGATCATGCCACTACACTCCAGCTTGGGCGACAGAGTGAGATTCCATCTCAAAAAAAAAAAAGAAAAGATGATTCATGTTGTTAGGAATCCATATATAGTTCTGGTTTTTAAGCTGCTTGCACTGAACTGATAGAGGTGATAGAGTAAATCTCATGATTAGGCCATTCTAACTGTAGATTCATAATTACTTTTTATTTTTATTTATTTATTTTTATTTATTTATTTATTTTTGAGACGGAGTTTCACTCATGTTACCCAGGCTGGAGTGCAATGGCGCGATCTCGGCTCACCGCAACTTCCGCCTCCTGGGTTCAGGCAATTCTCCTGCCTCAGCCTCCTGAGTAGCTGGGATTATAGGCACGCACCACTATGCCCAGCTAATGTTTTGTATTTTTAGTAGAGACGGGGTTTCACCATGTTGACCAGGATGGTCTCGATCTCTTGACCTGGTGATCCACCCGCCTCGGCCTCCCAAAGTGCTGGGATTACAGGCTTGAGCCACCGCGCCCGGCACTTTTTATTTTTTTTTAATGGAGAAGGAGTCTAGCTCTGTTGCCTAGGCTGGAGTGTAGTGGTACAATCCCACTGCAACCTCTGCGTCCCGGGTTCAGGTGACTCTCCTGCCTCAGCCTCCTGAGCAGCTGGGATTACAGGCGCCTGCCACCGCACCCAGCTAAATTTTGTATTTTTAGTAGAGATGGGATTTCACTGTCTCAAACAGACCAGCCCATTTGGTCAGGCGGGTCTCAAACTCCTGACCTCGTGATCTTCCCACCTTGGCCTCCCACAATGCTGGGATTACAAGCATGAGCCACCGCACCTGGCCAATTACTTTTATTTCTGCTTACTTAGAATGAGAATTTTTTAGATTGATTAAGGAATTTCTAGATGGATGCTTTCTGCTCAATTTGGTGATATTGATGAACAGATTTAATCCTATTATTTCTGCTTACTTATAATAAGAAATTTTTAGATTGATTAAGGAATTTCTAGATGGATGCTTTCTGCTCAGTTTGGTGATATTGATGAAGAGATTTAATCCTAAAAATTACTGAAAGAACAAGAGCAGTTTATTTATTAAGCTGTAGTTTCCCTTATTATCTCAGTATATTTGTCACCGCTAAATGAAAAAAAGGATATTGACTCTTTTATCAACTATAATGATAAAAAATGTATTCATTTGCATTCATGGCTAAAATTAGATATTTTTCACAACTGAGGAATTATTTAGGCAGGGTGCAGTGGTTTACATCTGTATTTCCTTTAGGAGGCCGAGGCAGGAGGATTGCTTGAGCCCAGGAGTTCAAGACCCATCCTGGGTAACATATCAAGACCCTATCTCTGTAAAAAATTTAAAAATTAACCTGGAATGGTGGCTTGCATCTATAGTCTCAGCTACTAGGGAGGCTGAGGTAAGGAGGATTGCCCAGGAATTCGAGGCTGCAGTGATCTATGATTGTGCCACTGCACTCCTTCCTGATCACAGCAAGACCCTATTTTAAAAAAAATTATTTTTTCTCTCTTTACCCCTTTGAATGGTGGCCTTGCATTCATCAGCATATGTCCTGTTTTTCCCAAACCTTCTCTCCTAATTCCATGATTGAATAGAGTAGCGGTGTTCTATAGAGTAGTGGTTACACTGTTTTCTTCAAATGCTGATAGTCCCTCCATCAAAATTATAAAGGAACAGGTTTTTGTCAGATGGATGACTTAGACAAATTACCTGATTCT